TTGTATTTGCGAAGACATGAAAATGTAATGTTGTCGTTATTTTAACACTAATATATTCACATTTCTTATCATAAAATATTAATTAAAATTTTTTAATCCAAAATAATTTAAATTTTAATTTTTAGTTAAAAAAATTTTTAAACAAAATTTTTTATTTTCCTTTCTTTTTTTTTCATTTTAATTTTTCAAAATATGATTACCATTTTTAATAGCATTTCGTTCAAATTTTTATGTAAAAATATTTGGAAAAAATTTTTGATAAAAAAAAAAAGAAAAAAAGAAACAATTCACAAATACAATAATTAATTGTGAGGAAAAGATTGAAAGAGAGGAAAAGAATGAATGAAATAATTTGAAATAAATATATTACTTTATAATAAGAGGAAGAATATTGTGGAGATTAAATTTAAATTTAATGGATAAATATTTAAGAAGTAGGATAAATATTGTTCAGATTAAATTTAAATTTAATGGAGTAATACTAAGAAATAAGGAGAATACTGTTTAAATTAAATTTAAATTTAATGGAAAGATACTAAGAAATAGGGGAAATATTTTTTCAGATTAAATTTAAATTTAATGAACAGATGATATTTAGGAAGTAGGGTGGATATTGTTTAAATCAAATTTAAATTTAACAAATAAATATCTGGGAAATAGGAAGACATTTTTTTTGACTATTAACTTTTACAGCAATCTAGAGCAAAAAAAAAAAAAAAAAAAAGAAAAAAAAATGTTTTAGTAAATTCCAAAAGTATATGAAATGTTTTATAGGATAAATTTTTTGGTTAACTGAATAGAATAGTTTGAAAATTTTTGTAAAAATATTACTCAATTTGATCTTTGGTCAATATACTTCCAAAAAAAAGAAAAAAAAAGGAAGAAATAGAAAAGAAAAGCTATTGTTAAAGTATTTAGAAAACAAAAATAATAACAAATCGAAAAAGAGAAAACTACAAAGACGGCAAGAATAAAAAAAAAAATAATAAATTGTTCTAATTGATAGGATCTTATCAATTGATAAATGACTTTTGATGTTGTTAACATTTATCATACATTTAAAACATCATTGAACATTTCCTTTTTTTCTTATTCTACTTTTTTTTTTTTACAATTTTTAGGTACACGTGTATTTACACGTATTAAACCGTTTTTTATAATTTTTACGTATACGTGTAAAACCTACGTAACAATTATATAATAGTAAATATAATATTATTGAATATTTGTCATATATCTAATCATATTAATTTTTCTGTCCGGTAAAATAATGATTATGTCCGTATTATATTAGATTATTTTCCGTATTTTAAAATCAAAATTTATTTAATGAACGTAACCAGTTTTCGTATGTATCATATTAATTT